GGACATCGCCTTGAGCTTGAAATTGCATTCAATAACACTTAAGCAAGTCTAGGAATGAATTAAGTTACAAATTTGTAGTAAAATGCTGGTAAAAGGTTGTACCCTTTTTTCCTTCATTGGTTCGAGGAAAAGTGACGTGTGCTAATGATAATATTTAAATTAAAAGAAGTAGAAACTACACTCGCCCATCTTTTTCAAATTCCAACTTAAAAATCAAATTTAAGAACCATCCATACAAAAAATAAGTGATATTTCTTATATATACCCACACCCCATACTGGTTTCACTCCGAAACCCTAAATATTTCTTCTTCTTCTCTCTCTATGTCCTCTCTTCTCTCTCTATCCTCCTTTCCGTCCCTTAACTCTATTGCGTTGCTCTCTTTCTCTATCGATTTCACACAGCAATGTCATTCGCGCTATGCGAGCATCGCACTGTTACAACAACTGTTCCCGGTGGCGTTGTGAGAACCGTTTGCGACAATGACATCACTGCAATGAAGTGAGCTTCGCTACAATAGTAACAAATTATAATTGCGGCAACAATGATGGCGTCGCTGTGCAATGATGGTAGTTTTGGGATCCTGCTATGGAGTCTAGGTTATGATGGTTGTGTTGAAATGTAGTTCAACATTCAAGAAAAAATGAAATGGGATGAATAAATAAGAAAAAAACCCGAAAAATGGTATTAGATGCAAAACCTATTGCAGGGAATTTTGGGACCTTTTTGGGTTGTTCTATGCTACCGCATAGATTAATACTATGCAGCCGCATAGCTATATGAATTGATCAATGAAGGTCAGTTTTCTATCGTTGCAACTTTAAATTGTGGTGGCTTTTCAATCGATTTTGGCACCAATTCATGCACATTGGTGGTGGCCTATATATAGGTAATGCATCTCAAACCAAAAACAAGTGAAAAACATTTGTGATCCATATTCATTCCAAAATCAAAGATTAAATTCTTGATTCACATTATATACTCAAATCTTCCTTGCGTTCTTATAGTTTTGGAGGGTTACACTTATGCTTTAGTTTTAAATCCTTTACAAGGCTTGATATAATATTACAAATTGTTTGTCAAAATCCTTAAACATCTCAATCAATCTCGAGAAGAGGCAAATATAGTTTGAGGACAGCGATTACGCGTTCGAGCCTTCGATATTGTTTTTATCAAGTTTCTGGTGTTAATTATTTTGTTGTTGCATTTTAGAGATATTATTCTTGTCTCTACTCCATTTCTCCTCCATATTTTCCAACGGGTTGGTGATGGTTGATGGTTTTTTTGTGCTTTTTGCGAAGGTTTGGGTAGGTCATGAGTAGTGATAGGGTGTTATTGGTGGTGGTTGATCGATGATTTGCTGGTTGATGGGTGTTGCACGAAGCAAGTAGCGACGATCATGTGGTTTAGTGTGCTGTCGAGGATAGTTTTTTGCTGATGGTGTTTGATAGTGGTGGTTGTTTTACAGTTGAAAAAGGTAGTTGTTGGCGGTGGTGGAGGGGGAGTGGTTGTTGTGGCACCAATGGGGCCGATGGTAAAGTGATTATGGTGGTGTCAGCGAGGGACGAATTCATCATGAACGTTTAGTTAGGGCGAATGTTAACTTTGACCGTTAACCGTCGATAATTAATTATACTCAAAATCAAATAAATGTGCTTCTCTAAATTTTTACATACAAGTTCTAGATATAAAACAAGCACACACGCACTGAATCAAATCAAAATCAGACCTTTACATCAAAATCATAAAATGGGCCTCATCAAAACAAGCTGGTTCAATCAGAGTCACACTGAATTATACCAAAGCACATTAAACAATATTTTAATAAAAACCGAAGCTAAATTCATCAACAACCCAAAAATTGGACCATAATATAGATGCGTTATCGGTATAAATACATGAAAAATTGCATGAAAAAATCACAGACAGTCGACAAAGACTTAGAGAACGAGAGACATAGAAAACTATTCAATCAGTGAACTCATTCAGTGAGCTCATTCATAGTGGAGTGAACTACAAAAAGATAAATCACCTGGAGAATACTATTGTACTTAATAACATTCAATTCCTTTAGCTTCTTTTGAGTACTGCTCACATAAAAAAGGGCTCAAGAAAATAAAGATTTCCTTTCAAACATACAAAATCATCATGACTTACTTCGATAAACATCCACTACTGGAACTACAAATTCTTTATAACACATAATAAATATAACCGCTTCATTCAAGGTTCTTTAAAACATCAAACTAAGTTTAAATAAAGTCATATTGTTGCCCCAATTTTAGTTAATCCCACTTTTCTTTATTTACATGCAAATTGAGATATCATCTTGAAAAACAAGGAAACAAAAAATTTACAGTCCTGTTCTTGGAAATGAGAACCCAAATGAAACACAGATGGCAAATTTTGAGTAATGCAAGCCCAAAAAAATCATATCTGCCAAGTGCCAATATAAAATAAATTGCCACGAATTTACAACAGGAGGATTAGGTGACCGGATTGATGGGAAGGAATTGGGGAAAAGAATTCAAGAAGGCTTTGCTCTTCTCTGATCTCTCTACTGTCGGTTTGACGGGAAGAAATAGGGGAAAGACTGAAAGTGATTCTGGTCCATAATAATCCATATGGATGAAGGATGATTTTATTTTACAATCAGCCCAAATCTGTCATCACAGATTCACAGTCTGCGCTGGTGATTCTGACGAATCCAGCTAGGGTGGCCGCCCTAGCTGAACACCGCTAGATCTGCCACTGGTGCCAGTGGCGATGCAGCTGGAGAGGTGGTGGTGGTGGTAGTGGTAGTGGTAGTGGTGGAGTGGGGTGGAGTGGAATGGGATGATGAGATGGGAAGAAGATTGTCTACGAACAATTATTTATCTATTTGTGATCAATAAAATATACAATTTGTGACTAGTAAATAATACATATTCTAAAAAATGTAAGATTGCGATAAATTCATAATCACGACTTACAATTTATTATGTTGATAATATGGAATCGAGAAATAACTTTTGATAAATTAATTTGATATTTTGTGATAGTAAAATAAGTTGTGACATAAAATTTGCAATTTTTGACCGAAAAATGATAGTGACCTATTAATTTGATAATTTGTGATCTATATATATTTTTATTTGAAATCGAGAAATAATCCGTGACCAATTAATTTGATAATTTGTAATGGACTAATAAGTTATGACATATAAGAACATAATTGTAATCATGAATTGTATGATAGTGACTTTAATATATCAATTTAATTAATACAATTTAATTATATCTCGATTTTTGAATGTTTAAAACTTGTTTCTTAAAAATGAAATTGGATAGAGTGACCACCTTAATTATGTGTTGTTCTCTTGGAATAAATACGAATTGAGCAGCTTTAGGCCCAATTTCTTGCTTAATAGGAGGGGATGCGTATAGGGGGTGTGAATATTGACCATATACCCCTATTTGGTACATCTAAAAAATTGATTAAAATTTATGACAGAGTAAATCATTAATTTTATCAATACGTAAAATGGTGTCCACAACTTATCCAATACGTATTTCATCAAATTTTATCAAAATATATTAAAATATAAGTTTGACCAATCCGAGTCCGACAATACACTTTTACAACTATTAAAAACATTTATTTTTTACTACAAAAGTAAAACAAAATAAATAATAAATTGAATTGGCAATATATAGAAAATAAAAAATAAATGAATACAGTTAATCGCGAATGTAATTTAAAATGATATTAAAATATCAATTTAAACGAAAGAATCAACAACAAATTTCTTGTACACAGTACACCTGTTCCCTATCCGAGCTTTAAATACAAGCTCCACCTACAGTACTTCCTAGCGTAGTTATAGCATTGTGCCATTGTCTAGGAATGATCCGGTGTAGAATCTTTCAAAAAATCGCAAGTTTAGTTTCATGTTTTCACCCCCAAAGCAAATTTTTTTTGCTATTAGATATGGTTATAAGTATATTGACTACGTTGAATCACTCGAGCTCTTTCTTAACTGATTGCATGCATTATCCTTGATATGTTACAAACAACAAGTGGCAAATCAACACCTGTTTTAATCACTGCTTAGTACATCGACAAATATCCTTGTAAATTAAGGGGCCGTTTGGGAGTGATTTTGAGAATTGATTTTCAGACCGTTAGGAGAAAAGTGGGATCTACCTGTGAGAGAATAAGTCAAATATGACGGCTGAAATAGTGAAATAGTCCAAAAGTCCTTTTTGTCTCACTGAAAATTCTCAATTGGAAATCACAGAATAGCAGAGACGATTTGGGTATATGTGTTTTTCGTATTGTGTGCAATTTTTTCCACGATTGAGGGTGTTCGTTTGGATTTTTTGTTTCTCTTTCACACATATACCCTATTTACTGTGTTTTTTTTTTAATTTTTTATTCTCTCTCTACAGTAATTCCCACCTCCATACCTCGAGACTTTTCCCTCTTAAAGTAAACCAGTAAAGGGGACCCCAGGGTAGATATATGTATATGTAGAGAGAGATTTCCACGTGAGAGAGATGAGAAAAACAGAACTCGCAAAACGGTGTGGTGACAGCTGAAGGAGGTTTTTGCATGTAAATACAAGTGTCCTAAATACTGTGAGTGTGTGCTCTTTGGTTTCATCATCATATAACGCCACGAATTGGAATAATTTTATTGGCAAAAAAATAAAATAAAATAATGATAATAAATTCTTGATGAAGAAATTAATATGCCGAATTTTCGTTTTTTCTTCTTGTTTTCAACTCAATCTACTAGTGTAATGTGTTGTTTTCTTATGCCCCTATACAGACAACTCCATATCTCCTCCTCCACCACGTGGTTTGCACCACCCTACACCTGCCACCACCACCCCCATTTTCTTAATTATTTGGATTCTCGCAATTCAATTCCACTTGGGCACCTCTCTTTCTCAATTGGGATTTTGAAGATCATTGTTCTTGTTCATAATCTATAAATTCTTGTAATTTTTTATGCAATGGGTTCAATTCTTCGATTTTTAAAGCTGTGTGTTCTGGAGCCTGTGAAGTCTGGTGAATTATATGAAAAAAAGGCACAAATTAAGTTAGACAATGAGAAGAAATCGTTTGAAATCCCCAAAATTGAGAAGAAGGATAAGGGTTCGTCAGAAGAGAAGAAGAGAAAAAGACGGCCTAGTAAGGAATGGAGATGCATAGATTCCTGTTGTTGGGCAATTGGTTACATTTGCACTATTTGGTGGCTGCTCTTGTTCATGTTCCAATGTTTGCCTGGACTTAAGGTGCCTGAACCCCCCGGGACAAGGCTTAAGCGCGAAGGATTGATAGCCCTCCACCCGGTTGTGATGGTGCCCGGCATTGTCACTGGTGGACTTGAGCTCTGGGAGGGAAGACCGTGTTCCGAGGGCCTTTTTCGCAGGCGGCTTTGGGGAGGTAGCTTTACTGAAATTTTCAGGAGGTAGTTTGTACATTTTCATTTTGTTATGCGCTTAAGTTAAAATACAATTTAAATAAATAAGCTCGTCCTGGTTTGACGTGATATCGTGCTAGTAAAAGACCTGAGTTTAAGTCACACCGTCACTTGCACAACTTTCATGAGAAAATCAGTATGCATGTGGGACATGTTGACGATAATTTAAATAAATAAGTTTGTATCCTCCCTAACAGTTAGGCTTTAAGGGGTTGAAATCTGTATTGAGATTGTGGACCCAACTGATTATTTTAATGGAATCAAGGCCTATGTGTTGGTTGGAGCATCTATCTTTGGACAATGAGACGGGGCTCGATCCACCAGGCATTCGTGTTCGAGCGGTTCCGGGACTAGTTGCGGCTGATTATTTTGCTCCGGGATATTTTGTTTGGGCTATTCTTATTGAAAATTTAGCCCGCATTGGTTACGAGGGCAAGAATATGTACATGGCTGCATATGATTGGAGGCTATCCTTTCAGAATACAGAGGTAAATTTTGCAAAAAGAGAGTATACATTTTTTGCCTTTGATCGACCATATCTTATTACCTCAATTCCAATGAGGTATAACTCAAGCTGGTTCTGTATATTAAATATTAAATGTGACCATGTGTCCTCTGCAGATTATCAGGTGTGGCCAAATTTTAGTTATTTAATGCTAGAATTCATGCAAATGTGAGCATTTATTACCAATCATTACTATAATCTTGATTGGTGGATGATTCTTTTGTAGTAATTGATTGAATGCAACTATAGCCAAGCCCTATCTTCCTGCATATTCTACTTATTTCCTCACTTTAGCGTCTCATTGAAAGTGGAATGTTAAGTCTTGTAACCTATGCTTAGAAACTAAACTGCTGTTCATTGTACCATCCAGTCAAGTACCGTGTGCTCTCAGATTTTTCCCTTTAATCAGTGTAAAGAATTGGCTTGTAATGTGTAAATGTCATCGAGTCGATATTTCTCTATTATATTCACGATTTCGATTGTGCAGGTCCGGGACCAAACTCTTAGCAGATTAAAGAGTAAAATCGAGCTTCTGTATGTAACAAATGGCAATAAGAAGGTGGTGGTGGTGCCTCATTCCATGGGGGTTATCTATTTCCTCCATTTCCTTAAATGGGTTGAAGTGCCTCCACCAATTGGAGGAGGTGGTGGCCCGGGCTGGTGTGCCAAGCACATAAAATCAATAATGAATATCGGTCCGGCATTTCTCGGAGTTCCAAAAGCTGTCGGTAACATATTGTCGGCTGAGAGCAAAGATGTTGCTTTTATAAGGTTGGTTGGTTTGTATATTATGCATTCAAATTAAACCTTATCCAATTAAGTATTATCTTGTCATGTTATTTTCATCGTGCTAGTGCCCATGATTTCTTCTGCATTTGATATTGCAGAGCGATGGCTCCTGGTCTTCTGGATTCCAAAATTCTCGGCCTTCAGACTCTACATCATGTCATGCGCGTATCTCGAACGTGGGATTCTGTCATTTCTTTGATACCTAAAGGAGGAGAGGCGATATGGGGTAACTTGGATTGGTCCCCGGAAGAAGACCATGTATGTAATTCAGCAAAGAAAAAGTACAAACAAGATTTTGACAACAATGGCAATAACAGTGACAGTCGGGGGCTTTTCCAAGTACAAGAGCCAACTAAATACGGAAGGATTATCTCATTCGGGAAAATAGTATCGGATTTACCTTCTTCTCAACTCCAGACTCTTGCGTCCAAGGTATAACTATTCCCATGTCGCTTTTGTTACTATTTTGCTATAATATCTCAGAGGTACATAATTCATAAAAGGAGTTGCTTTCCCTGAACTTTAAGCAAGTTAAATTTCAGCCTTGTGTACTTCTGATTTTAGATTATGCATGCATTTGACATCAAAATAGTTTTTCCTTACAAGATGTCAGCAAAATAGTAGTCCACCATAGAAAACTAATATCGTTGTTCTAATGGATGCGAAAACAGGAATTTATGAGCAATAATAGCTCTTCAAATTCCAGTGCTGCGTGTAAAGGCGTATGGACGGAATATGATGAGATGAGCCGGGAAAACATCCGAATAATCGCTGAAAACAAAGCATATACCATGAAAAGCCTGTTAGATCTTCTACGTGTTATTGCTCCAAAGATGATGAAGAGGGCAGAAGCGCACTTCTCACATGGGATAGCCGAGAACCTTGACGATCCAAAGTATAACCATTACAAATACTGGTCAAATCCTCTTGAAACCAAGTAAGAATAAATATTATGTAATGCATTTATTATCTGTTTCATCTGTGTTCAATACCAATACCATCAAGTGTTTGGCTTTCAACCGATATGCACTTTTGCAATCAGCCCCTCGAAGTTCACCCGTGGTGTTATTCTTTGTATTGCATCAATAGAATTCTTCATCTGCGTGACTGATATAGATTAATAACCATAGTTTATGATACATTCGGAAATTCTGTTATTCATCGATTACCTTCATTTTCAACTCCTTGCTTCTCTAAGTACTGAGTAAAAGTTTTTTAATGTATTTCTGTTTTCAGGTTACCAGATGCTCCGGACATGGAGATTTACTGTTCATATGGAGTTGGTATTCCCACTGAAAGATCGTACGTGTACAAACAATCACCCTCAGGCAGGTTCAATAGCATCCCTTTCCAAATTGATAGCGCTGCAGCCGGAAGTGAGAATGGCTGCTTAAAGGGCGGAGTATTCTTTGTGGACGGGGATGAGAGCGTCCCTGTCTTGAGCGCCGGTTTCATGTGTGCCAAAGGGTGGAGAGGCAAAACACGGTTTAATCCTTCCGGAATGTCTACATACATAAGAGAGTACAAGCACAAAGCACCAGCAAATTTGCTCGAGGGGAGGGGTTCAGAGAGCGGTGCACATGTCGATATATTGGGAAATGTTGCCTTGATCGAGGACGTTCTGCGAGTAGCTGCTGGAGCCTCGGGTTCAGAGTTGGGGGGAGATAGAATATATTCTGATATCATGAAAATGTCCAAGAAAATAAATATTCAACTTTGACTGAAGATCAAGAGCTTTTGTTCCAGAGTTTAAGTGCCTTAACACAAGGTTTTGCGGAAAAATTAGAGCCAAGACGAGTTGAGAGCTTAAAACGAAGAAAGAGGCCAAGAAATCTTGATAAGTACCAGTGCAGCGCGGGAAGTAGCAAAGGAGAGGCATGTTATTGGAAAAAAAATAAAAAAAAATAAATGAAAGCAAAGTCTCTATTTATGGCTAATGCCTAATGGGGATGTTTGAATGCATTGAATGGAAGTTTGTAATTGAAAATTTTGTTGTCCTCAAATCTTGTAATCAAATAAGTAGATTTTATCCCAGCTTTGTTCTGCATAATTCTAGTTGACATGCTGTGGAAGTGCTATTGTCCTGTGTAGTTGTTTGATTCTCTTGTGACATGTTTCGAACATTGAACTTGACGGGATGGGATAACGGACAAGA